TGGTTCAAAAAATCGTTGTGCCTTAAGAACTGCTGCAGCATTTAACGAAATTAACCCCGGAAGAAATGTAAATCATACTTACATCAGACAACTGATTATTAAATGTGAAGAAACAGGAATATTGGCAAACAAAAAAAGGGTCCATCAAAGAGTAATTAATGAAGCAGCATAGGTGGCTGTTGCTACGCTTAAATTAATAATATTTATAAACTTATTTGTAGCCAATTCAACATTATTAGTTTGGAATATTTTAGCAAAAGATTTATCATTTAAAGAAGTTCTTAGTTTATTATAATTAATGTAATTCTTAGTTACAAAATTAGGTTTGTTTTTTACTTCTTTTTTATTTATTAATGGATTATTAATTTGAAGAATTGTAGGGCTGTGATCTGTGATTTTTGAGTGTAGTATGACTGGGATTAAAAGATTAGAGTCGATAAAATTACTCTTAAGGAGGTCCTTTCGCCACCAATGTTAAATAAAAAATATTAGATTATGACTAAAATAAATTTTTTTCTAATAGTAGATGTCCTTATTTATCTAATAGTGAACTTTTAACTATACCTTACCGTGCAAATTTTTGAGAAAAAGTTTTTTTAAAAATGTGTGTGTTTGTACAGTGTCTTATGAGAAAGTAAGACTTCAACAACAATTTTCGAATTATAATTAATTTTACTATTATTTATTGATTAGATGGAGTAGAAAAAAACTAAAAATAAGGTTTTTGAAATATATAGGTTTTGTTTTTTACAATAAAATATATAGGTTACCGTGGAATTTATTGAGAAATTATTATTAAAAAATCAACTAGGTTACTTGAAAATTTTTTGTGATTTTTTAATATTAATTTCTCAATAAGTTGCACGGTTTACTATATATATTTTATTGTATAAAACAAAATCTAAATATTTCAAAAACCTTATTTTTAGTTTTTTTCTACTCCATCTAATCAATAAATAATAGTATAATTCGAGAATTGTTGTTGAGGACTTACTTTCTCGTGAGGCACTGTAAAATACTCACATTAAAAAAAAAAATTCTCAAAAATTTGCAAGGTAAGGTATAGTTAAAAGTTCAGTATTAGATAAGGACTTCAACTATTAGAAAAAAATTAAATTTAGTCATAATCTAATAACTTTTTTTTTAACATTTGAGGCGAGAGGTGTGGCGAAAGGACCTCCTTAAAAAAGATGTGGTCTAAGCAACTTTTTAATTTTTTTTTAATTCTGGTATAATCATTGATAGTAGACTTGAATCCTAATTCGTATAAAACATTTAGGTATTCGTTTGCTTCTTCCGATGGGGTTAATATGTCGACATTTATGTCACCTACAATTACTTCTGTATCTTTCAGTGAGGTATTTTGTAAATAGTTAGCTAACGAATTTATAAAGTCCTCAGTTTTAATATCATGAGGTTTATAAATACATGTAATTCCCATGGTTTTACTTTCAATTTTTAAAAATACTCGTATACATTTAATGCCAGCAATATCGATAATGTGTGTCTCAAAATTATAATCATTATTAATATAAACTAAGACCCCGTCAGTAATGTTTACTCTACCTTCGTTGTAGATTAAATTATAATTTTTCAAATTAAATAATTGAGGATTTTCTAATATTCTTGTCTCCGTTAATACTATCAAAAAATGAATTGTATTGATCTAACAAAATTTCTAAAGGATTGTAATTTTTCCCAACACTTCCGATATTGGTGTGGAAAATTGAAAGGTAGTTTGAATTATGTCTCAAATAATTGTTGGATACATCAACAGTGTCAGCTACAAAGGTAGTAATCTCAGACAAATTAAAGTCTCTTATATAAGGATCCATATTAACATTACACAATGTAAACCTAGAAAAATCTAATTTTAAATACTAATTTTAAATACTAATTTTAAATACTAAAAATAAGCAAGGCAATTTCAAATTAACAGTTTATAACACAGAAAGATAAATATATTGTCTTATTTGTTTAGAAAACGTTTCGGTCTTGTGTTAGTACGGGATTTGTTTGTTTTTTCTTTTCTGTCTTCTTTATCTTTTGTTTCTTCCTTCGTTCCACGTTCGTTTACATTACTTGTATTACCTTGTTCGATAGTTAGGCCTTCTTAAACTTTTGTAGTATCTACTAATATTCTTTCTTCCATTCCATTGTCATTACTTTTAGTGCTTAGGTACTTCAAGAACATTCATTAAAAGAAATAGATAAAATTGTGTAACTTAACAAATTAGCAGACAAAGTACCTGTACCCACGTAAAATCACCAACATAATTTTTGAGTTGTCAAACAAAAAAAAATCCTAAAAGTTGTTATACTTTCGTCGCGCTAACAAAGGCAATTGTTAATAGTATAGTATTAAACGAGCAATTTAGGGTAGCCATTATTCACGCAGGGTGACGTTTGCGTCCCGAGCCGTAGGCGAGTCTATCTGTCGAGCTGGATGTACTTTTTCTTAGTGTTCTGATTATTTTCTAATTTTTGAAATTTTATTAAAGCATTATCAATTTTTCTATTTACCTTTTCTCATAAAAAGAAACATCTAAAAGTACTAAGTAAAATATATTAGATAGACCTACTCGACGCCCACACTTAACCCCGATAGATCCGAACTATAAATGATTGTCCTCTTGATCTTGGTGATTTAGCAATACTAAAATTCCGATGTGTCTATTTCTAAAGCCGACCAAGAGAACAGTGCAACAAAATAATTCGAATGACACGGTAGATACTAAAAATAAAGTTCTTGAAACGGGTAGATACTCACATCTGGTATTAACGTGTACCTGTATTTTATCAGCTAAAATAAACAAAATTATCTGGAAATAACGGTTCGTGACGTAAATAGTTTATCTAAATGAGAATATTTTTATCTCGAAACCGCATACCTACTGGTATATAAACCTCCTCTAGGCGGGAGATGTTTGTAATAAATTTCTTAAATGTTTGTTTAGATATTAATAAATCCCTATTTTTCTAAAGTAGCTGCTGGGTAGTCATTATATTACAATTAATTTTCTTGAAGTAAAACGAAAACAGAAGTGCAAGGCTTGGTATATTAATACAGACTTCAATGGCGTAGGTGATTTCAAGAAATAACTACCAGGCATAATCATTTTTAATAACCCGGCGACAGTGTGGTGTAAATTTTGATAAGGACCTATGTGGTGGGGTATTACATACCCCAAAAGCAAAAAAAACTAAAAATTATACATTATTATTTTTTGAAGTTTTTTATTTTTTTGAGTTATTTAGGCAGTATTGAATAAGGACTTATTTTTAAAAAGATGTTTTTAAAGAAAGATCATAAAAAAACATAATTCATAAATACGGCATTTTCAACAAAAAAAATCACTCAGATCAATAACATAGTCTAAGTATTAGAATAATAAAGAAATAATAACAAAAATATAGTTTTCTTACAGTAAAAATATAACTCAACCCACTAAAAGAAGCAAAGTTGAGTTTATTCATTTCTGCTGAGGCTACAGGCGTCGCAAAAAACTACTAAATGCTCCATACAAATTGCCTTCCTACAGCCAGCACAGCTATAGAACGTCTTCCTGTCTTTTTTCTTGAGAATATTTCGCACCTGGTAGATACTCTACGCCTTTTTCCAGGTTGTTCTTCGTTTTCTGGTAAAGTCCCTTTTGTTTGTAATTCACGAGGAAGCCGTTTATTGGTTGATCTGTGTTCCTTGTGATCAGTCAATAACTGAATAGCTAAGGTTTTCAAATATTTTCTTCTTTTCATAGCAGTATTGCCATTATTTAAATTAAAAATAATTGTAGCATTTATTTCTGCGCAGTTGAGAATAGCGTAGAAAAGAGTGGTTATTTTTTACTATTGCGTGACACGTCGTATGCGGCTGAGAGCTCGTCGACAATATTAACGCCACCCTTGGTCGCATTGTAAAAGGTGACAATTTCTGGTTTTCTCTTTTCACCAGTTTCTTCATCAATTTCTGGAGAATGATACAAAGTGGACATGAGAAGAACCACCTTTCCATTTTTGGGAACATGTGATACTAAGGTTACGCCTTTCTGGAAGCCGAATTTCGAAGAACATTCTGGTATTTAGACATAAGAAAGCTCGCAGGTATCTATTTTCTATTTTTTCTAACAGTTCCAACTGACGTTAACTGATGTTCTTGTAAAAGCCGCAGCATAAGCTCGTAACTGGTGAATCAATTGTCGAATGTTACATTCCGTTTTGTACCGGAAATAGGAGCTATTAGTCTAAGGACGACATCAGTAAGTTTGGAGCTCAACTGAAATGGTCCTTCTGGTTGTAAACCAACGTATAATTCTAAATTAAGGACGTAGTAGGACTTTGCATCTACTAGAGCAAACACTTTCAACCCATAGCGAGCCGGCTAATTTGGCATGTACTGTCTAAAAGCAGGGCGCCCCCTAAAAGCTTCTAGCTTTTCATCTACAGTAAGATACTCGCTAGGTGTACACACATTTTGAGAATTATGTACGAATTGATTAAAAACTACCCCACTCGCAGCCATTTTGTCAATTTTTCTTCTTTCTTCTCGGTTTTCTATATTGTCGAAACGTTAACAGGCCTGCAGAAAGATAAACCTTTGTAGCGACATTGTTTCTCTAAACAAACTTATCCCTGTACAATCTGTTGACCATAGATCTTCAAGATTAAGTCTAGCAGACTTGAATACTCCTGACTAATAAAGTAGGCCAAACAATGCTCTTATCTCATACGCATCTGTTTCCTTGACAATTTATTGGTCACAAGAGGCAGATTTCCTTCTTATTTTTACATTTTTTCCACATGACGATATCATTTATCATATCTGGAGTACTAAATAAATCGAAGCACTCAACTGGAGTTTTAGCGCCTTTAGCCATTTTTTTTACCCCGGGTAAATGGGTGATATTATTTTCAGAGCGGGTCCTTACATTTTTAGAGAAATGATTTGCAGACGGTACTATCCTTTCATAGATACAATCTTAAGCTTGCTTCATTTTGTTCACTTTGTGCATCTTCATTCTGATTGACTATTTGGATATCTTCTTCATATGATTTTTGTTCATCTTGTACGTCTTCATTTTCAGTACCAATCTGGCCATCATCTGCGGCTTCTTCGCGTTCAGAACTGTGATTGCTGAGCTGTTCGTGGGATTCTTCGTCATTCTCTGAGCCAATAGCAACTTCTTCTTCTTGAATATCTTGCCACATAGACAATAGTCGCTTCTGTTTGTGCTCATAAGAACCAGCCATGATAAAACTAAGACAAAAATGTATTGTTTATTATGTGTACATATGTAGAAAAAAATTCTATCTAAAAAACGTTTTTCCATCAAGAGTAGAGTTTCTTTGTGTATCAACAACAACAAAAAACATAAAATTTTATGTAAAAAGTCATGTTTCATTTTAAAATCAAAATAGGCAAAAATAATAGTTGAAAATACTCAAAAAAATTAAAAACTTGTGCCCTTATGTGCAGAAAACTACAAAAAAAGGTTCTGTTCATCTATAAAATATTCAGTTACCTGTGTGGTGGGGTATGTGATGTAATTTTCGCGTAGGTAACTTCATAATCGAATGTGTTAAAATTTAAAAAAAAAACCTTTATAAATATTCACCTTTAACAAAAGTACCACTTTTTAGTTTTAATAAGTTAAATATATAGAATTTCAAAACAAATCAAAATAAATTAGATATACAATATTAGCAGATTAGCTAGGTACCTGTATTTCACGAAATTTTGTATAAATAAGTAAATTAAATTAAATCAAAAAAACTTAAAACAAAAACATTTTTATTAATTTTAAAAAGATAATACATAATTTATTTACTCTTCGGCGAATTTCTGCACTTTAATTTTCTACCTCTTCTATTCAAAATTATTTCCGGGCCCACACAAGCCTCATAAAAAAATCTCAGTTTTTCCATTAGATTAAAAAATCATCAAAATATATTTTTTTAATAAAAAGAGGATTCTCATCTCCTACATGAACTATAAAATGGCACATTCTTCTTCGTGAGATACCGAGTTGTCCTTGAATCTAATAACATAATAATTTTTAATTTGTTAGAAAATATAGCTTTAATTAAATTACTTTGAAATGTAGTCAGTAATCTCACCTGATAATAGTAATTTTCTTTAAATGAATTTCACCATTTTCAATTCTTAAACAGGGATCCATTTTTTTCTCTACGGCTTCTCTCAATGAAAGATTAGATGTGGCTTGTTTTAAAAAACATTTAACCTCGACAAGTTCATCAGAATTAATTAAACCTAAAAAATAAAAATAGTTATTAAACTATTGTTATAATACGTAAATAATTATCGCTTACCATCAGGAGATGCACCTAGGAACCCATATTGCACATCAACAAATAACCCTGATGGTATAACTGTTTTGCCCTAATTTTCAAAATCTAAATGAAAAATTTTACAAGAACCTGCAATTAACAGGAGCAACACTCCCCACCAACTTAGATGAGCTTTTATATTCAAAAAATATAAAACTGTACTATGTTATATATGAACATTTAAAAAAAATGAATCAAGATATTTAAAAAAAAAAAAAATACAGATATAATAAAAAACAAGAACAAAAAAAAAGATAAAAGAAAAAGAAAAAAATATATATATATATTAAAAAAAAAGAATTCGTCGCCTAAAATATAATTATGTATAATTAATTGTATCACAACTGTTTTAACTGTTGTTTAATTGTTAATATGATGAAAATTTTGTACTTTTAATAGATTTTAGGTTCCTTCATTATTAATTATTGTATTGTTGTAATTTGTGAAAATTGTAAGTAGGTTTAGATTCGTTTTAATAACATTAGCTCTGGCCAATTGATCTGAGATCAAGGCCATCATACAAAACACACAAACACAACTGTTTTGCTAGCTTCTTCTTGAAATTTGTTTATAGCCACACCTTCGTTTTGTATGCCGTACTCAACTGCTGGGGTAGTTATTCCTTGTTTGTCTCTCAACATTTTTTTTTACCAAACAATCGCATGGGGTACGGGGCCTTTTTTTTGACAGCTTCCCTAAAATGAGAAGCCGTTAGCCGAAATCTTCTTTCCTCCAAGTATTTTCAGTTGCTGAACTGTCATACAGTTTCTTCTGATATTTGTTGTTGTTGCTTACTCGTCACCTAAATATATTTAAATATAAAATCATGTAAAAAGTAAAATACTTGAATAAGATTTTCAACCTTAATCTATGAACATTATGTATTTTAAAATCAAATTACTTCTTTGATCCTCTAAGGCCCAGTTGTACCACTACAGTTTAGAGGAGGTTCAACTGAACCCAGTTTAGACTGTGACAAACTTCCTACTAACTATACCCAAATGTCACAATCAAAACCAAGTTTAGTTGAACCTCGCCTGAACTTAAATGGTACAACTGGGCCTAAGTCTTATAATAATAAATTGTTTAGACTTAGGTACCTAATACCTACTTACGGAAAGTGAAATCATTTTAATTCAATCACAGTATTTTTCAAATTTGTATCTTATATTATATTGTAAAACAATGAAAATGAGAGCAATTTGTTTTTCTATCTTATGGAGTTAATTTTTTTTTTAAATCAATATAGGAGGCAAATATTAATTTCCACAGGTGTCAACGATATACGCCATCAAATACTATGGGATCTAAACCCGAATCGCCGAATCCAAAGTCCCAAGCTCTGTCCATTTCATTATTAATGGTATTAATTTATATACATAATTTTTAAAAATCTAAATATTTCGTTTTCAGCTAAAGCATTTAATTATAGGTGATTATAAATTTTCTTCATATTTAAAAAAATTAAATTTATCTTTTTTTGAAAACATGGATCTAGCAATCAGTATGTAAGTATATAGAATTACTAAATACAAATAAAAAACTTGGTTCTAAAAAATTTAAAAAATAATTATATAATTACTTATTGCTAAATAAAATAAATAATATAACTATAATATTTTTTGTTGGTACTAAAATATTGATCTTCCCTCGTTTCCGTATCCAGATAGAAATGATTCTACGCTAAGAACTGCGTGAGTAGTAAATAACGGATCGATAATTCATTTTGGCAAGTAGAATATTTTACCAAATATTTGACTACAGGCACTACTGGTCAGGCAGTTTCGCAGTAGAGAATTTGACCACAAATCCTTTGGAGACTCTTTCCTTAAGGTGATTACAGCACCCTCTTATAATTTTCGGACAAGGATATCTCAAAATGTAATTTTTTTTTTAAATTTAAAATTTTGGAAAAATATATGAGGCAATAATATCCAGAATATGCATATATTTTAATTTTTTAATTCCTTCCAGTTTCCGAGAAAAAAATCAAAGGGCTTTAAATTTTGAAATATCATAATGAAAATAAATGCATTCCTCGACAGCAGTATTATTAATATAATCCCCAAATTTAAGCTCTTAATCTCTTGTTAATGATTTTTTAAAATTCGCCGAAATTAGTGGCTAAAACGCCTCGTTAAGTGCTATTTTCTGTTGTAAACTGGTGTAAACTAGTGTAAATCGTTGCAAGAAACGAATGATGACTCATAGTGTACGATATGATAGTTACAGAGGCGTTACTACAGAAAGCAGCACTTAACGAGGCGTTTTAGCCACTAATTTCGGCGAATTTTAAAAAATCAATAACAAGAGATTAAGAGCGTAAATTTGGGGATTATATTAAGAATACTGCTGTTGAGAAATGCATTTATTTTCATTATGATATTTCAAAATTTAAAGCCCTTTGATTTTTTTTCTTGGAAATTGGAAATAATTAAAACTTTAAAATATAAGCATATTCTAGATATTATTGCCTAATTCATGTTTCCAAAATTTTAATTTAAAAAAAAAATAACTTTTTGAGATATGCTTGTCCGAAAATTATAAACGGGTGCTGTAATCACCTTAAGGAATGCAATCGCAATCAACTAGAACAAAAACTACAGGTTATTGAAATAAAATGGTTATAATTTTTGAATTCATATAAATAGGTATATAAACAATTTGCAAGCTAATATCTAAACCTTATCTTGTCACTCTATAAATTATTATTCTTGATAAGATAACACTGTATTTTCACGAATTATTATCAAAATGAAATATTAAACTAAAAAATGCATCGTATATACTGTCGTCGTTATAATAAACTTAATATTAGAATTCTAGAACAAATTTTTGTTATCTTTAAGTTTTAAAATGAAAGTCAATAGAATGAGCATTTGAATTAATACCATATCTTTTAAAAGAGGTTGTAGAAAAAATAACGTGTTATTCAATTGTATACTTTGAATTTTCTTACACCAGCTACTATAATTATGTTACTATATCTTTCAATTATTTATATTTAAAAAAAATAACAGTGAATAGACTTATTTTTACTTTACAATCATTTTAATCAGTATATCTACAACGTCAAACAACCAAAATTAAACGAAATACTGTTCGAATCTTTTAACCTAATAACACCATCATTTATTTTCTTCTAACAAATCATTTACTCTGCTATCCAAAATGGATCTTACCCAAATAATCCTCTCCAAATTACCTGTCAATGTTCACAAGTTCTAGTGAAAATAAACCTTCTATATCTGAGTTAAGAACCTCATAAGTTTTAGGACCCCAAATTTCGAGGAGTGGGCAATGCTGATAGGCGAATCGCAAATTGTTTTAAACGAATATCTAGCTGGACAAAATTTTATGGGGGTTTTTTGTCATAAACTATTCTGATTTTTTAAATTTTTTATAGGTAGCAAATAAAAGATTTTGCAAAAGGTTGTTTAATGTATAAGAATGATCTTATTTTCAATACAAATTTAATAAGTTTTTAAACGCACGAAATATTTGTCTTCCAAAACAATCACAGCCTATGTTTATGTTAACACTATTAAGATACGGAAGTATCAAATTACGAATATGGGAACTAAGGGGAAAATATCAAGCAGGCATAGAATACAAATCGTTTAAAATTTGAGTTAGTTGCATTGCGGAACAAAATTAAAATTCGTCCCAATTATAATAAACTAGTGAATAATTATCATTTTTGTGAGTGGCTGTTTGCTAAATAGGAGTTTTTCTCACTAAGTAATTAGTTTTGTTTTAATTTGTAGTCAATTTATTTTGCAAATTATATTACCCAATTATTATCCATCAACCTTTTATAGTTAATTTGTCAATTCTGACTTAAAGATATTTTGTCAAGTATTGAGAAAGCCTTGTATCCTAAATTAATAGGATTATATTAAATAATTA